TATCAATACGCATTTTCTGAACATGATATAGAAATGACACCTCCCTTATTAGAATAAGGAGGCTCTAACAATATGAGTGGCCGTATCTGCTGCCTTGGATAACTGAGTACTACTGTCAAGTACTTAAGAATCAGGGGACCAAGTGGGATTACTAGGGAGTGGAAGAAAAAAAAAAGACTACTTGAACAGCATTAATGCCTAGGTACTAAAGTCGGGAAGCTGCAGATGTCTTATATGCTGGACTTAGGGCATGTCTACACTACAGACTTAAGTTGATTTATGTTAGGTCGACTTGCAGTCACCGCAGTGATTCCTGCAGCGGCTGATGTCCACACTACCCTCCTTCTGTCAGTGGTGCATGTCCTCACCAGGAGCGCTTCCACCAACTGAAGGAGGCAGTTTTGGGGCTCAGAGCAGCTCCTCTCTGGGAGCCCAGCTGCCCCCCGGGCTTCTCGCCTCCCCACTAGGAGCGGGGGTAGGTTGCCAGGCGTCCCATTTTCGACCGGACCACCGGGGCATTAGAAGTCTGGTCAGTGGCGCAGCAGGGCTAAGGCAGGCTCCCTGCCTATCCTGGCTTTGCACAGCTCCCGGAAGCAGCCGTCATGTCCCTGTGACCCCTCGGCGCAGGGATGGTCTGGGATGCTCCGCGCATTGCCCGTGCCCCGACCACCGGCTACGCAGCTCCAGTTGGCCAGGAACCGCAGCCAATGGGAGCTGTGGGGGCGGGGCCTGCGGGCAGCACACATTGCCACCTGGCTGTGCCTCCACCTAGGGGCCGCAGGGACATGCCAGCCGCTTCTGGGAGCTGCCTAAGGTAATTGCTGCCTGGAGCCCACACCCCAACCCCCTACCCTGAGCCCCCTCCCACATCCTATCTTCCTCCCAGAGCCCACACCCTGCACCCCCTCCTGCACTCAAAACCCCTCAGCCCCAGCCTGGAGCCCCTTCCTGCACCCCTAACCCCTCATCCCAGGCTCCACTCCAGAGCCCTCACCCCCTTCCACACGCCAATTCCTTGCCCCAGCCTGGTGAAAATGAGTGAGTGAGCGAGGGTAGGGGAAAGTGAACAGGGAGGGGGGAATGGAGTAAGCAGGGGCGGGGCCTTGGAGAAGGGGCGGGTCAGGGTAGGAGTACAGGGTGGAGCAACGGTGTTCGGTTTTCTTCAGTCAGAAAGTTGGCAACCCTAAGCGGGGGCCAGCCACAGAGCGGGGAGCCGGGCGGGCATAGCCCAGCGAGGAGAAGGAAGCCGGGGGCAGCCAGGCGCTAGCTGCCATCTGGAGCCCTGAAATTGACAAGACAGCCAACGTAAGTAACGCAGTGTCTACACAGACACTGCGTCACCCTGCCTACACCTACACAAGCCCTACGCCTCTCGAGGAGGTGGAGTTATGTCGGTGTATTAGGGCACTTACATTGCTAGAACAAGGCTGGAGTTTGTACACTGACTAAATTAGGACGCTGTAAGCTACCTCACGTCGACCTAATTGTAGTGTAGACCCGGCCTTCGTGTACAACCCAGTCCTTTGGCTTTCACCATTTGTGTACCACATAAATAGCTTGAGCAGTTTTGTCCTCATCTGTTTCGCGCACGATCGCTGTTAGCAACCTGCCTTTTTCTTCTCTTTGTTGTTGTTGGTTAAACCACTTCTTAGCTACCACTTTCTTCTAGCTAAACTGAGAGCAAGAGAAGCTGAGGTGGGATCACGAGCAAACCCTGAAAGGCCTCTAAGGATCCACTTTCAAAACAACTTCAAGCCCCCCTGCAGAGCATTTACCCAGCCTCAGCTTGTAAAAATGGAGTGATTTTAAAACCGCTTTGGAAGGTGCAGAGAATGTGTAGAGACTGGCCTACCGCCCAGCGTTTCAAGTGGTTACATCGGGACGCCACTGGTCACTGCCAATCCCTGTGGAGCCATTCCGCTCCCACTGTTCCCTGTGTCTTTCCTGCCGAGTCCGCGCCATGCTGAGCCCCCGTCTTCCAGCACGGTGTCACTCCCCCTCCCTCAGCTTCCATGCAGTCACCGAGCATGCCCAGGAGCCGCTGCCAATGGTACTCGCCGTGTGTAACGTGCAGACAGCTGCGGGCACCACTGAGTGTCGGAAATGTTCTACTTCAGTCGGGACAGGGAATTTTGGAGATCAATGTGGGAGTCAGGACTGTTGGGAGGTGGTGGTGGTGGTCTTGGTAGCATCCCCTGAGACTCCTCGTTAGATGGTGGGGCGCAATGGGTTGTGCTTTTCCAGCCTCTCTTTAGCCTGTATGGTTTCAGATAAGCAGTTCCGAAAGCAATGATGTATGAGGGTAGTACTAGTTTTGCCCCATTCATTTCCATTTGTGACAACCTAGCACTGGGGTGTCCCTGCCTCCTCGAATAGTCTTGTTGAAAGCCATTGTTAGTGTTTAGGGTTCTCAGTTACTTTCACTCCTAGATAACTATAGGTTCAGAGGCTCGGCTCAGATATGTCCACCGACGGTCTGATGCTGCTTGTCCAAAGCTTGCTTAACTATCTGAACCTGTCTGTATTTGCATTTCTCCCCCTCCCAACCTCTCCCTTCTCGTCCTCAACTTCCCTCTCCCCAGCCCCCAGCCTCCTCCTTGTAGAGATTGTGAGCGCGTTAGGGCAGAGGCTGTCGTTTTATTACTTGTGAACAGTGCCTAGCCCTTATGTGGTCAGGGCTTCTAGCCCTCCTGTTCAAACAGGAATTGATTCAGGGAAGTCTTCTGGCCTGTGTTCTGCTGGAGGTCAGATGAGATGACCATAGTGCTCCCTTTCAGGCCAGTAATGTATGATAGAAATAAACAGCTCATTATTATCATCATCATCTCTGAACCCAGCAATATATCTGAGTAGTTCAAATTATTCCTTCCAACATGCACGTTCCCTTATGGTGGGTAGAATTTCCAGAACGGAGTGGAATGGGGTGTTATGTTTTCCATTTAAAATGAGGTTCTATCTTTACATTTCAGCTAAAAATGCATGTTGTGAATGCTGGTTAATCTCCCATTTCCTCTGGCTAGTATTTAATTATACATGGCAGAGCACTGGAAGCTGGCTTAGGATAACTCTGATTAAGAGATTTTTCTAGATGCAGTAGCTACCATTAGCTGAGCAGCAAAACACAGCTTTTGAGTGTCAGAGCCGTTCACATTTCCTGGGCTCTGATCACTAAGGGACATAAAAAGGTCACATTAGAGCGGTCCCCTTACAATATGAAATGCAAGAATTGGCTAAAAGCCTAGCTGCGAAGTTCAGAACATGAAGGGAAATGAAGAGTTACTAAGAAGTGATTTGCCCGTTACCCCACCAAATGTAACCACAGACTACAACTTTATGCTCCAGCGGAGCTGCAGTAGGGGGAGAGGCAACGGAAATTCTATTAGAAATCTCCTTGAAGAGCAGAACAGCTTGCTCATTGAAACAGGCACTGTCAGCTCCTTGGTGAGAGAACGTATAGAGTTTCTTTAAAAGCCACCCCGAGCGCTGTATAACTAGCAATGCGTTCATGTTTATATATCAGTAATATCATTTCAGTGAAAAATCTTTACAAAAACCAATAGTCCTTTTCCGCATTGTCAGTCCAAACAGCATTGTGCTAGAGCACAATAAAGAGGATGTGAAAACTGACTGTAATTAACAGCAAAACCAATCAGTGACTGCAAAGAGGTATTTGGGTTGGAAAAAATCTTTTCATTATGTATATGTGCAGAGCTCAGCGCAGTGGGGCACCGATCCTCGATTGGGGCCTCTAGAAGCTACCACAATACAAATATGAAGTAATTATAAATAATTATTTTGCTTTTGACCCTTTAAAGTGCTGTCAATAACAAAGGCAGGGAATTTGCTTTTCAATATGTGCATTGCATTGATAGTGTCCCTTTAAATTTGCTTGTGCCGTAACTCATGACTAATAGTAAGAAACTTATCTCGTCTGCACACCCCTACCGGCTAAGCATGGCTGAGTCCTAACGCTGGCCGTCTATCCGGGGGTGTATTTCATTACTGCATATCTTGACAAAAAATTACTAATGGTCTCCTGTAAATATGTGCATTAGATTTATGAGCATGCAGTATGTGAGAAACGGAACCTCTTCTTGGACATTGGAATCTGGCCTTTAATGTAGAAATATTCAACTGATTTTTTTCTGTCTGGAAAATCTTCCTAACATTGATTGGATCCTTTTTTGTTTATTCCTTTATTAAAACATGGTATAAAGAAAACACATACACGGCAGCAAAAGGTCAGATACGATATTTTGTAAGCCCAGATTCTTTACCTTACATTGGTGCCTTTTCCAAAATTTCAAAGTCAGTAGATCAACGCTTATTACTACATAAATTCAATTAATTTGGTGAGATATAGAGATAGATATAAACATGCCACCAACGTCATACTTTACTACAGTACATAATAGTGAATGCTGCATAGTGATGCAGGGGGCATATTCTTGGCCCCATTAAGGCAATAAGAGTTCTAATATTAATTATTTGTATGGTGGATGTGCCCGTGGGCACCGTCTCTGATCAATGCCCCATTGTTCTCGGTGCTGTATACACAGTGTGACAAAGTTCCAAGCCTGTATTGGTGGGTCCCGCGCTTCCAGGCGGAGTCAGTGGTCTCAGAAGCTCGCCAAGGCCCTCAGTGTGACCTCCCTTCCTCAGTATAGTGGCAAAGGTCACGGCTTACTGAGCTACTTTCATCACAGGCCAGTGTGGGAGGTGGGAAGGTGGAATACTCACAATCTCTGTTGCTCCTTAGAGCTCAGTAGGCGCAGTTTGGCCTCCTGCCTGGACCAAAGTCTGCTTCCTCTCTCAAGGGGATCTCTGTAGAGTATGCGGGGGGAGAAGGGAGCGGGGAACCCAGGCCTACCCTCTACTCCGGGTTCCAGCCCAGGGACCCTAATGGTAGCAGCTGTTGGCGGCTTCCCCTTCACCAGTGACGCTGCTTTGATTCCCTGGGCCACTTCCCCGTGATCCCCTTTTCCCAGCTTCACCCTTACCTCAGGTCTCAGCGATGCATCCTCTCCTCCAGCGCCTTTCACCAGGGCTTCCTTGAGGGAACTGGAAGAAGAGCTTTTAAGCAGTATGAATAAGAGCTTGATTAGTTCCAGCTGTCTCCATTAGCCTAACAGCCTTAACTGACCCTTTGCCGGTTAATTGGAGCCAGGGGCCTGCATTAGCTCAATGACCTTAACTGGTTTAATTGGAGTCAGGTGACTTGATTGGCCTGGAGTAGCCTTTGTTTGGGAACAGGGACCTTCTCATCCTGAGGCTGATGTATTTGCCTTCCACTGCTCTTTTATAGCCTTCTGGTCTGGGTCCATCACAACACACATAGGAAAGCGCCTACAATTGTACTATATTACAAGACATAACAAGGTGCATACAGCAAACTGACAGGGTGAGGGTTGCCTTTGAATTCTGTTGGAGCGGAATCAGACTCCCCCAGTTTTTCACTTCAGTCGGTGTTTTGCCTGAATAAAGGGGAGTTCCTGAAAATTCAGACTTAACGTTGATTGACTATTTATAGCCTCCATGTTCTTAAGACTTGCAGTCAGGAGGGTTAAAGGATATATTTGCTGTACTAGTTGTCTACACTGCAATGAAGTGTATTCAGGAAGAAAGGGTAATCCACTCTTACTTCCTCTATTTTCATCAGTCTAAATCATCACAGTCTTGCCCTAATTTTACCCTAGTAAATAATGCTTTTAGGTTGTTTTTTGCTGGTCTGCACTGCAAGCAGATTAATTAGTAGCAAAACAGGTAAACTACACACACACACACACACACACACACACACACACACACACACACACACACAACACACACACAACAA